TCTCTCTCTCTCTCTCTCTCTCTCTCTCTCTCTCTCTCTCTCTCTCTGTCTGAAGAAGTCTTGCTTCTTCACTTCTGCAGGACTAAAAAGGGGTTCGCTTCGTGGATACGAACAAAGATAAAATAGACAGTTTGGTGAATTCGGCCAGCGAATATAAACTGTTAGACGTAGGATTTGATTAAAAAGAACAACGTTGCATGTGTGCCTCCTGCTACCCCGGAGGGATCGATGGAAAAAGCCTTGAGGTGGGGGTTGCGGGTAGTTTTGTAGAACGGTGGCTGAACCACAGGGGTCCTGGGGTGTCTTGGCTGTCGGCCAATTAGATTGCAGCGCTGCATTCAGGTACCTTCAGGAACACAGTTTTTTTTGGCCTGACTCTCTTTGTTCCACAGCACATGTCGAAGCCATATAGTCAGATCCCAACATTCGATTATTCATATTATTCTATATGCATGTTTGATTGAGTCATAATTACACTTTGAGGCAACAGAGGATGTAATAAAGGATTATCGTATCTTATGTCATGTTTTCATCACATATTATTATCACTAGGGCTGCAACAAACTATCATTTAAAAAGTGACGTCTTCAGAGGTTAAAACTCAAAGATATTTAGTTTACAGTGATAAACTTTATTTATTTATTTTTTTGTACAAAGACATTGTCTTAATTGACTTAACCTTTATCATTTTGATTATTGTAATTATGTTTAGTTTTAATTTACTGTTTTCTCATATGCAGCTCATTTTACTCAATGATGTAAAACTGATTTTATTAGTGTTTTTATTTGTATTTTATTTTATTTTGTCTTGTAAAGAACTTTCTTTTGTTCTTTCTTGAATTATGAACTTTCTTCTTAAGTTCATCATTCATTGTTGTTGTATAAAACGGGACTTAGATTTGGGTAATAACTGCAAGTTGTATTTGGAAAGTCACAACAAAAACAAGAAAACAACGATTGATTATCAAAATAATTGTTGAATAATGTTTAATAAACGAATCGTTGCATCTCTAATTTAAACTGACATTTCCCCTTTTTACAGTTTGTGACATTATGTATTTATCCTTTTAATAAATGTATTCAGTGCTTTCAATTTTTTATTTCTGATATATTTTTATCCTCGTGAAAAATGAAACTTGGTACTTTTCGAAGGGACTTTCGGTGCTTTTTTCGTGTGACGCCGGAAGTTTCCACTCTTATTTTGAAGTGCACTTCCAGTTGTGGGTTCCGTTTCAGGGATCGTCGTTAACTAACCGAAAGAAAAGGACGACAACGTTCAAATCTCGGTAAAGTGCGCAGATATCACGTGTTTAACATTGTTGTTATTGACAGAAGGAACGTTTCATTGATTTTTATATCGATTTATTCTCGTGTTTGTTTCTGTGGGCACTTTAGCTAGCTTTCTGCGCTAACTCAGCTAACACATGCTAATGCTAACAACAAAAACAAGTGATTTTAATTTAAACTTCGTTTGTTTTGTCTTTTTGTTCCTGGTTCATTTTATGAATATAATCTATAGTAACTGTAACGTTTGATCAATAACTTTATTAGACGAACTGAACACCAGCAGAGAAAGAGCCGCTTCTATGTTCGTCTTTGTACATTTGTCTCTTTAGAGCTCCTGGTTCATGTTTTAGTGTGTTAGTGTGTTCTTCTTCTCCTTCTTCTTCTCCTCTCCGTAGAACCTGTACCATCAGATCAATAATTGGTCTCTGTGTTTGTGTCGTTAACCTCTTCTCTGGTTCACTTTTTCTCAGGTGAGTCTACCTGTCGGTATCTGGTGGACATGAGTCCTGATTGGATGAGATCCTAGCGTCTAGAACCAGGTGTTCTACCATCAGAGGACATCATGGAGGATCCGTTAGCAGATAGTCCCTGTTCGTCTGAGCCGGACAGTCCTGGAGGTCTGAACCGAGGCCTCTTGGATCCATCTGAGGTCCTCTACCAAGATCTCTCCATCCTGGTCCCAGAGACACCCAGGTAACATGTACACCTGTCTGACCTATCTCACATGTACACCTATCTCACCTGTCACACCTGTACACCTATAAGATAAGATAAGATAGACTTTATTGTCCCGAAGGAAATTTGTCTTGGAAACAAACCTACAGTGTCTGCTGTTAAAACAATACAAATATCATATTGCATACATACATTACATACACAGACTGTCGCCAGTCCACATACCCGCACACACAGAACCTACAGTACATGCACAAGACCAGCCAACAAATACATGTCACACTGCAATGTTCTGGTCACGAATAACCACTGGTGAGTGGCCTCCAATGTATTTGGGGTCGAATACCATCTCCTCTGTTTTCCTGACGTTGAGGATGAGGAAGTGTTTGTCGCACCACTGGACAAAGTTCTGAATCTCATGTCTGTACACAGCTGTATCCGATGTGTCAGACATGAGACCCAGGATGGCTGTATCATCACAACACTTGATCATGTAATTGTTAGCAGTGCTACATGTGCATTCATTAGTGTACAGGGTGAACAGGACTGGTGAACTGACGCACCCCTGGGGGGCGCCGGTGTTGATGGTCAAGGGTTCAGACAAGGTCCTGTTCACCCTGACCTGCTGGGTACGTTGGTGAGGAATGAGTGGTACCACTTAATAGTGAAGGGGTTGACATTCATCAGCTGCAGTGTATTCAGGAGAACATGAGGCTGTCGGGTGTTAAAGGCTGAACTCTACAAACAACAGTCTAGCATAGGCCCTCTGATCCTCCAGGTGTTGAGTCACTAGGTGCACTATACTGTTGGTTGCATCATCAGTGCCTCTCTGCTGTGTGTATGCAGACTGGTAGGGATCGAGCTGTGGGCCGACATCCAGCCGTAGTTTGCTCACCATGAGCTTCTCCATACACTTCATCACAACAGAGGTTAGAGCAATAGGTCTAAAATCATTATTCTCCTGTGGACAGGGTTTCACCTGTACACCTGTCTCACCTATCTCACCTGTCTCACCTGTCTCACCTATCTCACCTGTCTCACCTGCCTCACCTGTCTCACCTATCTCACCTGTCTCACCTGTCTCACCTGTACACCTGTAGACCTGTCTCACCTGTCTCAGCTGTACACCTTTCTTACCTGTACACCTATCTCACCTGTATACTTTTGAATGCAGGACTTTTACTTGTTGTGGAGTATTTTCATAGTGTGTATTAGTACTTTTACTGCAGTAAATTATCTAAAAACATCTTAAATCAATGCTAATACTACAGTGTTCTCTGTATGAATAATGTAATGTATTAAAATAATATTTAGGTGATATTTATATCATATTTATATACATGTAAATTATTCATACAGAGAATGTTGTAGTCATACAAATATATTTATTAAAGATATCTGTATGACTACAACAGGAGAGACAGGTGGATAGGTGAGACAGGTGTAAATGTAGTAAAAGTATATAAATGTGGTAAAAGTATATAAATGTAAATAAATGTAGTAAAAGTATATAAATGTAGTAAAAGTGTTAAAGTAGTAAAAGTATATAAATGTAGTTAAAGTATATAAATGTAGTAAAAGTATATAAATGTAGTAAAGGTATTGATTGATCAGGGTTGATGGTTCTTCTGATGGTTCTTCTGATGGTTCATCACCTGCTGGATCTTTAGTCTGAAGGAGAGAGAAGTTAATGAGGAGCAATCATTGAGCTACAATCTGTTTAATGAGAACCAAATATGGTCATAAACATATTTGTATTGTTGTTTATTTGCAGACGTATGAGAACACGTCTCTCACTGAGGACCAGGAACTATTCAAACTGTTGACTTCATGTTTTATGTTGTTTATCAGCCCACAGCTCGGCAAGCGGAGGCGACGCGCTCGCGTCTCAGAGGAACCTCTCAGTCCTGTAAGTGTGAACACATTGTCCTCTCGTCTTCAGCTCCGTCCAGATGCTGACGTCTGTGTCTGTCTGTCTCTGTGTGTGTGTGTCTGTCTGTGTTTGTGTGTGTGTCTGTCTGTGTCTGTCTGTCTCTGTGTGTGTGTGTGTGTCTGTCTGTCTGTCTGTGTGTGTGTGTGTGTCTGTCTGTCTGTCTGTGTCTGTCTGTGTCTGTGTGTGTGTCTGTCTGTCTCTGTGTGTGTGTGTGTGTGTGTGTGTGTCTGTCTGTCTGTCTGTSTGTGTGTGTGTGTGTGTCTGTCTGTCTGTGTCTGTCTCTGTGTGTCTGTCTGTCTCTGTCTGTGTGTCTCTCTGTGTCTGTCTGTCTCTATGTGTGTGTGTCTGTCTGTCTCTGTCTGTCTCTGTGTGTGTGTCTGTCTGTGTTTGTGTGTCTGTCTGTCTCTGTGTATCTGTCTCTGTGTGTCTGTCTGTGTCTGTCTGTCTCTGTGTGTGTGTGTCTGTCTGTCTGTCTGTGTGTGTGTGTCTGTCTGTCTGTCTGTCTCTATGTGTGTGTGTGTCTGTCTGTCTGTGTCTGTGTCTGTGTGTCTCTGTCTGTCTGTCTGTCTGTCT